ACTTTCTGTCCTAGTGTATAATTTATTTTGAATTATCACACAGTTTGGAATTTAACCAGCGTAAAATGATATATTAGGGCCACAGTTTATAGATAGGAACTTTTTCTTTTAGGAGAGACCAAAAATCTAATGATGTTATTCTCTTTGTTTGGTTTTTGAGTTTTGGGTTTTTGTTGTTGTTAATGTGGCAGGTGGTGGTACTGTGGATTGAACCTGAGGCCTTACATGTTGAGAACATACTGTACACTGGCCTACGTTCCTAGCCATACTTTGTTTATGTGATTATAATAAACCAATTCTGAACTTCCTCTTTAATTTCATTATTTTGTTTTAAAATAAATCTGTAAATGGAGTGTCACATTTGAAAGGAATGAATTAAATCTATAGGATAGAAATATCACTTGAAAAAAGCAAGTCACTGCATAGGACAAAATAAAGTAAAAGTAATTGCATTGATGTTTATGTACCTGTTTGTATATATGCATATTGACAGGTATGTAAATTTATGGAAAAATAGCAGAACAATACACCACAACTGTTAATAAATTGCTTATGTGTTTAAATTTTGGCAAAAATAAGTAAAATTCAATAAGTTTATTCTGGTAAAAAGTTAATTACCAAAAATTACAACTGAAATACTTGAACTCATATCTACAGACCTAATAAATGAACTGGCATGTGTAAAAATAAACATCAGAAGAAAGGGCAGAGGAATGGGGAAAAAATAACCAAGATATATCATGTAAAGGTACAAATTCCCAATGATGAATGTCATTGTATTGTATACCTAAAATGTACCAATAAACTTAATAAAATAAATAAACATCATGTAAGGAAAACATATACTAATAAAAATAAGTGAATAGGAGAGCCAGGTGTGGTGCCCGCCTGTGATCCCAGCACTCAGGAGGCGAGGCAGGAGGATCATTGTGAGTTTGAGGCCACCCTGGGCTATCTATATATAGTGAGTTCAGGGCCAGCCTGAACTACAAAGGGAGACCCTGCCTCAAAAAGAAGAAAAAAAGTGAATCGGGCCAGGGATTTAGTTCAGTGGTTCTGCCACCTGCCTCACAAGCACAAGATCCTGAGTTCAATCCCCAGTGCCCAAAAA